CTCTCCTCTCCTTCTCCTCCTCTCCCCCCTCCTCCCTCCTCCCATCGCCGTCATCATACTCATCGTCGTCATCATCATCATCATCATCCTCATCTTCATCATCATCATCATCATCATCATCATCATCATCATCCTCGTCATCATCACCACCAGCATCATCATCGTCATCATCATCGCCATCGCCATTAGTTCCAAACCATCCTGTCATCATCACCACCAGCATCATCATCGTCATCACCACCAGCATCATCATCGCCATCGTCATCGTCATCATCATCATCATCATCATCATCATCATCATCATCATCATCATCATCATCATCATCAACATCATCATCATCATCATCATCATCATCATCATCATCATCATCATCATCATCATCATCATCATCATCATCATCATCATCATCATCATCATCATCATCATCGCCATTAGTTCCCATTTCCGCACACCCCTCACACGTTTCGTGGCCCCATAGGGAGCTCCACCGAAGGCCCCAGTGGCAGGGTTCGCATGCCGCCCCCACCCCACTTTGGCACACCCCTCACACGTTTCGTGGCCCCATAGGTAGCTCCACCGAAGGCCCCAGTGGCAGGGTTCGCATGCCGCCCCCACCCCACTTTGGCACACCCCTCACACGTTTCGTGGCCCCATAGGTAGCTCCACCGAAGGCCCCAGTGGCAGGGTTCGCATGCCGCCCCCACCTCACTTTGGCACACCCCTCACACGTTTCGTGGCCCCACAGGGAGCTCCACCGACGGCCCCAGTGGCAGGGTTCGCATGCCGCCCCCACCCCACTTTGGCACACCCCTCACGCGTTTCGTGGCCCCATAGGTAGCTCCACCGAAGGCCCCAGTGGCAGGGTTCGCATGCCGCCCCCGCCCCACTTTGGCACACCCCTCACACGTTTCGTGGCCTCATAGGGAGCTCCACCGAAGGCCCCAGTGGCAGGGTTCGCATGCCGCCCCCATCTCACTTTGGCACACCCCTCACACGTTTCGTGGCCCCATAGGGAGCTCCACCGACGGCCCCAGTGGCAGGGTTCGCATGCCGCCCCCACCCCACTTTGGCACACCCCTCACGCATTTCGTGGCCCCATAGGGTGCTCTACCGAAGGCCCCCGTGGCAGGGTTCGCATGCCGCCCCCACCCACTTTTGCACACCCCTCACACGTTTCGTGGCCCCATTGGGAGTTCCACCGACGGCCCCAGTGGCAGGGTTCGCATGCGTCCGCGCCACCCATGTCGACACACCCTTGACACGTTTCGTGGCCCCATAATGAGCTCCACCGAAGGCCCCAGTGGCAGAGTTGGCATGCCGCCCCTCGCCCATTTCGGCCCACCCCTCACACGTTTCGTGGCCCCATAGGGAGCTCCACCGAAGGGGCCCCGTTCGCATGCGTCCCCACCACCCATTTCGGCACACCCCTCATACGTTTCGTGGCCCCATAGGGAGCTCCACCGAAGGCCCCAGTGGCTCCCCACCACCCATTTCGGCACACCCCTCACACGTTTCGTGGCCCCATAGGGAGCTCCACCGAAGGCCCCAGTGGCTGCGTTCGCATGCCTCCCCACCACCCATTTCGGCACACCCCTCACACGTTTCGTGGCCCCATAGGGAGCTCCACCGAAGGCCCCAGTGGCAGGGTCCGCATGCCTCCCCACCACCCATTTCGGCACACCCTTCACACGTTTCGTGGCCCCATAGGGAGCTCCACCGAAGGCCCCAGTGGCGCGGTGCCTATGAGAAGAGGGGCCTAGTATGCGTGCCCCCTCCTTCGTCTCATATCCGTGCGGTACTCGCAGCTGCATATGGTTGGGTCCTTCGCCAGGCTAATTTTTTTCCTGACTTGGACATGAGCGCGCGCACGCGCGGCAAGTCAACATCGCTGCCACTGTTTTCCTAAGTTCGCACGCGCTACACATCAGTATTGTAGTACAGATGACGTCGGGCTCCAGCTTTCTCTCCCGCATCTCGCTGAGCAGCGACAGCGCCTGGTACCATTGTTCGCCTTTCTCGCACGCGCGGATTCCGACGTTATAGCTGATGACGTTGGGCTCCAACTTCGCCTCACGCATCTCGCTGAGCAGCGACAGCGCCCGCTGCCACTGCCCTCCTTTTTCGCACGCGCTGATCCCCGCGCTGTAGCTGAATACTGTGATCCCGTGGAAAATCCACGGCTGGCAGGTGAAGGTGTCGGTCCCGAACGCGCATGTGTCGCCGACGCCTGCGGGTTTGCTCCAGGCCTGTCTTGGGGGCCACCGAAGGCTCTACGAGGAAGGTCCCCCTGTCACCCCCAATCGGTTGTAGGGAGGAAGCGAGATGCTGCTCCCCGCGCTATCTGCAGGTCCCCCTCCTGTCACCTCTAATCGGAGAGTGGGAGCGACCGACGCGGCTGCAGGTCCTCCCTGTTACCACTGACAGGCGGAGTGGAGGCCCCACTGCCACAGCGGCCAGAGCCTCGATGAGGGAAGGAGGCAGAGATCAGAGGGGAAGGTCCCCCCTGTCATACCTCATCGGCCGTGGGGGGGGAAGGTCTCGAGGGCGACTCGGGGCCATCTCGGACTGTTCCTGGGATCGCTTTTGGGAGCTCCGTGGGAACTATTCCTGGGACCGTTCTTGGGAGCTCCGTGAGAACTGTCGGAGTCTCTTGGCAAGCGTCGGAATCTTGTGGGCGACTCTGGGGCATATCGGAATGGTCCTGGGACCGCTCTTGGGAGCTCAGTAGGAGCTATCGGAGTTTCTTGGGAGGATCTGGGGCCCGTCTTGGGGGTCTGGGGCTTTCTTGGGGGCGTTTGGGGTTTGAGGCACGGCGAAAGGGTGCCGTGGCTGGAGGCACTCTCCTTGGTAGCTCCTTGGGAACCATCGCAGTCTCCTGGGGGACTCTGGGGCATGTGGGAATCCTTGGAGCGTTCGAGGCCAATTGGGGGCTGTAGGAAGGGAGTCGTCTGGGCTCCCGTCGGCCCCTCTTCGAGCCCTCGTTGGGGTCTCTCCGTAGCCTCTATGGGTCCTCTTGGCCCATTTTGGGGCTGTATGGGCCGTCTCGGGGGTCTCTTGGGCCCACTGGGGCCATGTTGGGGGTCTCGGGCCGTCTTGGAGCTCGGTGTGGTGCTGGTTGGACAGCCAAATAAGCCCTCTTAGGGCTGTCTTGGGGGCCGGCGGCGGCTCCATGAGGCTGTCTTGGGCTTCTCTTGGGCAATCTTCGGGCCCTCTGTGGCCGTCTTGGGGCACTTGGTGGGGCCTCCTGGACCGTCTTGGGGCGATCTGGGATGGCCCTGGAGCCGTTTGGGGCCAGTCTTAGCCCGAACTGGCGAGAACATGGAAAACCATCAAAAACAATTTAATATCTATGATTTTAGCCTCGGGGGGCCGTCATCGGTGGCCGTTATCGGAGGCACCTGGCCCGTCGTGGGGCCGTCTTGGCCTGTCTTGGCCTGTCATGGGGCTCCGTTCTGGTTCTCTTGGGCCGTCCTCGCGCGCTGCAGAGCGTCCGAGAGCTGTCTTGGAACTGTCAGAGGCCGTCTTGGGAGCACCTGGGGGCGCTCTGGAGTCATCCGAGAGCGGCGGGGCGCTCCGGGCGCTCGGGGGCATCTCGCGACCTTCTCCCCCCTTTCGCACGCGCAACGACTGGAATTGCAGTGCAGATGACGTTGGGCTCCAACTTCGCCCAATACATCTCGCTGAGCAGCGAGAGCGCCCGCTGCCACTGTTCGCCTTTCTCGAAGGCGCTGATCCCCGCGCTGTAGCTGACTAGTGTGTACCCATGGCCTACTGGCCACGGCATCTGTCCGAGATGGCACATTGGGCCAGGGCAGAGATGATGTTGCCGAAAGGCCTTCGCGATGACGTTAGGCCTGAACTTCGCCTCTGCTTTTGCTGCCTGCAGCTGCAGGGTGCTGCTGTCTGCGGCATGATGTTGCTGCTGCTTAGTTTTGCTGTGTGCTGCCGCTGCTTGCTCTGGACTGCTCCTGTTCACTGTTGCTGCTTGAGGCTGCGAAGTTCTGCTTCATGGTAAGTGCCCTTGCTAGCTGACGCAATCTGGAGAGAGAGAGAGAGAGAGAGGGGAGAGATGCACGTAAGGAGGAGGGAGAGCCGGGGAGAAGGGGAGGAGGCAGATACCAGTAGCCAAGAGGGAGACGCAAGGGGCCAGGGGGGGAGGTCGGGGGAGCGAGGAGGAGTGAGAAGGGAGGAGCCAGGCGCGAGGAGAGAGGGAGAGAGAGAGGCGAAGAGCGAGGAGCGAGCGTCGAGGAGCGAGGGACGTGGAGCGAGAAAGGAGGCATGAGAAGAGGCCACCGCACGAATGCCTCCATGGCTCCGGCGCGCGTGGCTGACCATCTGGCCTCCTGTTGGGTCGCTCACGGGGGCTCTCTTGGGTGGGCGGCGCGGCCCCAGAGCTCCCCCTTGGAGGCCTCCTGGAGGCGGGCTTGGTGGTGTCTTGCGGCCTCTCGGTGGCCTCTTGAGCCCCCCTGGGCCTGATCTGGGCCTCTTGGGGCTCTCCTGGCGCTTCCAGGGGGCTCTTGGGGAGCTGCAGGCGTTCTCGGGGTCATTCTGCGGCGGAGGACGCGACAAGTCAGTTCGCATTTCCCTTATTGGGGCCGTCATGGTCGAGAGAACGCATTTCGTGGACGCTTGCCTTGGAAAAACACTTTAACACGTGGAACTGCCCCCCCCCCTCCCCCCCCAAAAAAAACATTAAGTGTGCCCTGAGAACCGGCCCTCACCCCCTCCTGGACGTCGGCTTCCCTAACTGGGCGGGGTTCGAACTGGCCCCCCCGTTTGATTATGATCCAGTGAGGGTTTCAGCTCAGCGTGTCGCCTTCCCCGCAGCCTATATGGCTCGGTTGCGGGAGGGCGGGATTTCTATACGACAGAGCGCGTGACGCCCCCAGCCGCGGCATCCGGCCGCTGCGCATGCGCTGGAGCAAAAGGGTTCTACGACGAGACGGGCTTGAGGGAGCCCGTGGATTCAGATTGGCAGCGGAGCCGCTTGACTACGGCCATGGCAAGTGGCACGTCTACGGGTGGTGCTGCGGCCAGCGCCGCAGGAGGACTCCGCCTTGACGTACCCACCTGGGACGGAGAGCCCGACAAACTCCTGTCGTACCGTTTCGACATCGGGCTCTTCACGAAGAGCTATAAGCTCCAGGACAGGTATGTGGTAGGGCCCCAGCTGGTGCGCGCCCTGGGCGCCCGGACGCGCCGACTGGCGCAGGCCTGCCCCGACGTCGAGGGGATTGACGAGGTCTCCGACAATGGCAAGCTCGAAGGCTGGCAGCGCGTCTTCGAGTTTCTCCTCTCGAAGCTCGACCTGTCCAACGTGAATGAGATGGGGAACTCAGCGGAGAAGTTCTTCAAGAAGCTGCAGCGGGAGGTCGGGGGGGGCTTCCCCGACTGGACGGCGCGCTGGGAGGCCCACGAGCGGGACCTCATGGCGCAGCTGAAGGCGGTGGACGGTGCCGTGACTGAGGTCATCGCCGGCCCGCTGAGGACGTGGTGGTACTTGCGGCGATTGCGGCTGTCACCAGTCGCCCGCGGTGAGATCACCGCCATGGCGGGCGGCGACTACGACTACGACAATACATACAAGGCGCTGTGCACACGGTGCCCGCTGGAGGCGCTGAAGGAGCTCGACGGGGTCCGCGAGAAGAAGGACAGGCGCGCGGGCTTCTACGGCGAGGCTGACGACAACGATGTCGACCACAACGACGGTGACCGGTCCGAGCTCGCGGACATCGTGGATCAGCTGGTGACTCTGGCCGACGACGCGATGATGCTGGACGACCTGGAAGACACCGAGGAAAACGAGAACGGCATCTACGCGGAGTTCAAGCAGATGGGTAGGAACTTCAAGGACGCGAGGGACCTCATCAGGCGCCTGAAGGTGGCGCGGGACTAACTACTACCCTGTTCTGGCCCCTCGACCTCCTGACGGACCTCCACCAGCCGCGCAAGCCACGTGCTGACGGTGAGAAGGAGCCTGTGCGTGACATGCGCAGGATGAGGTGCTTGGCCTGCCGCAAATTCGGACACCAGGCAAAGGACTGCCCGGAGAGGAACAAGGCGCGCGACAGGCCCCAGCCCAACGAGACCACCTCGTTCGCGCTCCTCGAGCTGGGGGAGTTAGTCCTCCTCCTGGACGACGAGAGCGGCATCTGGGCAATCCTGGACTGCGGGGCTACTCGGAGCCTGATCGGGGTCACGATGGCGGAGAATCTGGTCTACGACATGAAGGAGAGGCACGACATCCACTTCGACCTGGTGGAGCTGACGCGGTGCTTCACTTTCGGCGACGGCAAGCGCAAGAGCTCCATGGGGACCATGACAGGTGACATCTTTCTCGGCGACGGGCGGGAGAAGATAGAGATCTCCATCATGGACAATGAGGTGCCGCTGCTGATCGGGATGGACAGTCTCGGATTAGACTACGCTTGCGCCCTGATCGACTGCGGGAACGGCTACCTGATGTTACCAAGGCTCTCCAGCCACATCTTCCAGTGCTGGAAGATGCCGAGCGGACACCTGGCGATCAACGTGACGACTCCGACGTGGTGGCAGCACGTCCCTCGCGGCATCCCGAACATCACTGAGCTACACAGCGAGAAGGCCCTGGTGGATGTCAGTGACCTGCCCGAGGCCAAGGTCGGGACCGAGCAGACGGGCTCGGCGGAGCCTCTGTCGGGCGCGGCTGTCACGCCCTCGAGCTAGGGACAGCGCCCCCTGGTGGACTTGAGAAAAACACCTTCGCATAATCCATTGGGGGGGCCCGAGAAGATGCCTGATAACGAGAGTTCCCCAAAAAGCCACCTAGCCCCCGAGAAAGCCTCCACAGGAACCAGGACCCCAGTACGCCTGGACGACATCCAGAAGCCTCCTGATTCTCCGAGCAGGTCCCCCCTCGAACCTCTCGTCCTTCGGATCCCTCTACTGCGCCTGCAGCATCCCCGACGATGACTTCTACGACCACGAAACCGAAGCCACTCTCGCGGACATCTTGGCAGACATCTTCGGGTACCCTGAGAGCCTCTACAAGACATGCGAGGACCCACCTGGAGACACCTCTACAGGTCCCCCAGCGTCCCGAAATGATGGAACATCCTCCTGAGACTCCTCCAGATCCGGACGCTTGTGCTGTGTGCAGAGCGCTTTCGGCTCACGAGGCAGTGCATTCAGATAGTCTTCATAACCTTCCATATTTGGTGGGTGACATGCCGCACTGGCACGGGCTCGTCGCCTTCGGGTGTGTCACCGCCGCCTTCGGTTTCAGCGCCACGTCCTGCATTTCGCAAGACAACTCCATTCAGTCAGAAGCTGCCGCCGTCCTTGGCGGCTCTGGTGCAGGCCGACGCCCGTGCTGTCCAAAGCGAGTTCGCTTCTGTATCCCCGAGGGATGTGACTGTCAACGCGCCAGGGATGAACCCTACGGCCACCATGGTACAGGCGGCAGGATCTCGAGCAACGGGGTTTCAGAGATGCGGCTGCTGCGGCCAGCCGGGACGCAAGCGGATCGGATGTTCATGCACGGGCGGGACGTCACACAAGTGCCTCCTGCTGGCAGAAGGGAAGCCGCCCACCAACATCCTCGACGGGTACCAGCCTCCAGGTCGAAGGAAGCAGCAGCCACAGGAAGGAGCAGTACCAGCACATCCATCCGGGATACCTCTCAACGGGGTGGCCAGGGAGGAGGTGACCACTCCACGCTGGAGGCGGCTGCTAAACAAGATCCTGAAGAGGCTGGCGAGTGAGCCCTCATCGGAGTCCTTCGAGATGTTGGACGACTCAGCCGACAAGGAGACAGCGACCAAGAGGGGACGCGAGCAGCTCTGAACCAAGAGGACCTCGACGTCTTGCAGGAAGCTATCGACCTGTACGACCTCGGCTACAAGGAGGAGATCGGGGACGACCTCAACTTTCTAGTCCGCCAGGGCCGATACGACCTCCTGGAGGTCTGCACGCCGCCTACTTCCGCTTTGGCTCAGGCGGTGATCGACCAGGGTGGGCTCGCCTTTCGCGCTGGAGAGCACAGCGGTTTCGACATGGCGACCAAGACCGGAGTTCGACGCCTGGCCCCTTGGATACACCAACACCGGCTCCGACCTATCGTGATGACCCCCCCCTGCACCGCGGGCTGCCAACTGCAGAACTGGAACCAGAAGACCGCGGAGGACCGAGAGAAGCTTCGCAGGAAGGTGCAGAAGGCCAGGCGGATTCAGGCAGGGTGCGAGACCCTCCTCTCCATCGGGCTGCAGTACCACGGGACGGAGGTGGACCCCGAACAGCCTCAGCGTTCACAGAGCTGGTCACGATCTGCTTCTCTGCGGCGCATCAAGGAGCAGACCTACGAGACGCTGGTGTCGGGATGCGCCTACGGACTACGTTGTCCTCGCAGCGGCTTGCTGCTGCCCATGGTCTGGAAGATCTGCTCCACGGATCCCGAGCTACAGAAGGCGATCGGCAAGAGGTGCAGCAACCGTCTAGGGCGGCATGACAACCAGGAGCATGGCGAGATCATTGGCGGGAAGGTCGTGGCCTCGACGGCGTTCTATCCAGCTGCTCTGTGCAAGACCTGGGTCCGCGCAGGAGGCGGAGCTGCTGCTGGCTCTCAGGCACTCCTCACCTGCGACAGCGTGGAGGACGAGCAGATCTACGCCGACAGTGCAGGAGACGACGACGTCAAGCCTGATGACCCAGTCGAGCCCGATGAGCAGATCTACACGGATACCGCGGGGGACGACGACGTTGCGCCTGATGACCAGGCCGAGTCCGACGACGAGCTCGACGGGAACGACGGCCAGGAGCTGGCCAAGGACGGAGGCCGCCTGAGCACCAAGGAGCAGGAGATCGAGCACCGTCTCGGCCGGCTTCATCGCAATCTCGGTCATCCCAGCGCTCGGACGACGGTGAAGATGCTGAAGAACTCGGGTGCCAGCCTACAGGTGCTGAAGATGGCAAAAAACTTCAAGTGTCACGCCTGCGACTCCTCCGTGCTGCCGAAGGCCGTTCGGACCGCTGCAGGCATCGAGATCCCCGAGGTCTTCGAAGTGATGGGCAGTGACGGCTTGGAGTGGACCGGCCCCAAGGACGACGCGATCTACCTGATGACGCTCAACCTCGAAGAGGGGGGTCAGGTCTCACGCTGGTCACCAACCACGGCGACAAGTCCCAGCGGTCCGGCAACAGGTCCGCCGCCGACGTCGTCGAGACCTGGCGCTCCTGGGCCGACCACTACCGAGCCCCACGGCTTATCCGATGTAACGCTGAAGGATGTCACCGTGCCGAGCTGACCAAGGGTTGGTGCAGCTCTCGCGGCATCGAGATGTTCATTGCACCTGGCGAGGCCCACTGGCTCATGGGCAAGGTCGAGCGGCGCATCCAGCTCTTCAAGAGGACGCTCACCAAATTTCGGAAGCAGAACTACGACTGCGACATCGACGAGGCCATCAGCCAAGTCATCCACGCCATCAACGACCTCGACAAGGTGGGGAGCCATTCCCCCTACGCCCACGCCTTCGGCATCGGCGGCGCCCAGGGTTCGAACAACCCCTTCGCCATCATCGACGACGAGAACGGCGAGAGCAGAGAGCAACACCGCCTCTCTGCCAGACAATCCTTCATCGAGGTAGTGTACGCGGAACAACGTCGCCACGCCGAACATGCACGCAGTCGTGTCACGACTCGCTGAAACACCGGCGAACACTGCTACAACTGGCGGAAGGGCCGCGGACCCGTCAAGGCCACGTGGTACGGCCCTGCTCGCGTTCTGGTACAAGAGCAACGGATTCTGGCGTGCTCCTCGAGGCCTACTTCGGTGATTTGGATTTCACACGGCGACGTTCTCCTTCGCTGTGCGCCCGAGCAGTTGCGGCCCGCCACTGAGGCCGAGCGCGTGGTCGTCGAGCTGACCAACATGGAGAAAAAAGGTGCTTCCATGTCGGACCTGATGGAGGTGGCTCGGCGCGGGACCTTCGAGGACCTCACCAACGAGAGCCGTCCAGCCATCCAGCACTTCGAGCCTCAGACGGTCATGCCTCCCGTGACGCAGGCAGACACGACTACAGACGAGCCGATGGAGGATGAGGCACCTGGACTAGAAGCTGACGCTCCAGGACCTCTGGAGCCTGCAGGTGAGCCTTCCGCCCCTCCGACGCCCTCCAGTATCCCTACCATCGAGCAGCCAGCGCCCAAGCTTACTCGTCTTTCCTCGCCTGAGGAATATGCGCCACCACCTGCCGAGGGCCCCCCTGGTCGCCGATGGCGCATGTACTCCAAGGACAGCGAAGACACCTACCGTCAGTCACCTGCTGAACGACGTGCCAACCGGCCAGGACCCTACTCCGACACGAAGGGCCAAGATAGTGTGGACCAGGCGAACAGTGAGGACGAGCTCTTCGTAGATGTGAACACGCTCAGGGAGTCTGGGCCCACCGACTTCGAGTTTATTGACGAGAACATGACAGTCTACTTCGAGATGCTGAAATCCGAGCTCACGAACAGCCAAGGGGGCTGCCGTCTCACGTCCCAGATGTTGGACTGCTTCGTGGCCAACCAGAAGCGCAAGGACAAGATCGAGTTCTACTGGGGTAAATTATCACCCTCTGAGAAGGTCGAGTTCCAGGCTGCCATGACGAAGGAGGTGACGAACTGGAAGCAGTACAAGGGACTACGGCCGGTGCCCGCCTCGGAGGTGAAGGACCCTGCGGATGTGATCAGGTGCCGCTGGGTGCTGACGCGAAGGCCGACGGAACTGCGAAGGCTCGTCTAGTCCTCCTCGGCTACCAAACCAAGGACATCGGGGAGGAGCCTACCGCCTCACCGACGGCGTCCAGACGCGCCCGGAATATCCTGCTCACCATCGCGGCCGCGAACCACTGGAACATCGTTAAGGGCGACGTGACCAGAGCCTTCCTCCAGGCCTACGACCTCAAGAAGGACCTGTTCGTCGAGGCCGACGAGGCTCTCTCCTCTGCCTTCGGCGTTCAACCTGGTGAAGTTCTTCGGGTAATGAAGCCAGGCTACGGCATCGGAGAGGCTCCAAGGAAGTGGTGGCTCACGGTCAAGTCGGACTTCGCCAAGCTGGGACTGCAGGCCTGCGACCTCGAACCGTGCCTCTGGTGTCTGCGCTGTCCTTCGACGAAGGAGCTCCTCGGGTTGGTCATGTGCCACGTGGACGACTTTATTCTCTGCGGCGATCGAGGACATCCATCTTGGAAGTCTGCCATGAAGGGGATCAAGGAGCTCTACACGTGGGGCACCTGGGAGAACATGGAGGACGGTACCAACTCCATCGAACAGTGCGGTGTCATGATCGAATCCAACGAGAAGGGATTCTTTCAGCATCAGCGGGCCCACATCGACAAGCTCAAGGAGATAAACCCCAGGTACCACAAGGCTCGCTCCAATGACAAGCTGACCGAGGCTGACCAGAGTATCCTTCGGACGTGGTGTGGTGTTCTGTCATGGCTTGGCGTGAATACTCTACCCTGGGTGTCAGCCTGGGTTGCGGACGTGCAGAGCAAGATTCCCGACGGCGACTACAAGCTCTTCAACATCGCGAACAACATTACCAAAATGGTCAAGGCCAACCAAAATGACGGGATTCAGATATTTCGTCACGCCTTACCTGGATGCCAGAGCGGGCCGCCTGATTTCCGTGTGTACACCTGGTGCGACGCTGCCTGGGCTAGCCGACCGGACGGGCATTCTCAAGGCGGACACGTGACCGCTCTGAGCTCAGCCGAGACACCGTTCCACGACGTGACCAACTTTACTGTTCTGGACTGGGGGTCGCGCAAGCTAAAGAGAGTCGCCTGGTCTAGCCTCGCTGCCGAGATCCAGGAGGCCAGCGACGCCGAGGGCGAGCAGATGATGGTAAGGCTGGTCCTCTACGAGGTGCTCTTCGGACCCTTCGACCTTCACAATCGCCAGCGGGCCCTGCTGGAAATGCCAGCTACCCTCGTGACGGACTGCAAGGCCTTCTACGACGGAGTCGTGAAGTCAGAGTCGGCCGGCCTCGGACTGGACGAGAGGAGGACGGCTATCGAGGCCCTCGCTCTTCGACGTGCTCTCGAGGAAGGTGGGACTTCAGTTCGCTGGGTGCACAGCCATGCCCAACTCGCCGACGGCATGACCAAGGCCAGCCTGCAGGCGTTCAACGTGCTCCATGCTTTCTTGACGCACTAGCGATGGAAGATTGTTCATGATGAGCGATTCCTTTCTGCTCGGAAGAGGTCGGCGCTTGGGAAAGGAATCTTCGACGAGACGAACGAGATGGACCACTCCCAGGCCAAGAAGATCCTGCAGAGCAGGAGGCGGGACCGCTCCTCCACCAAGCAGACGGCATCCGAAGGTGCCGAGACGAACATGCTGGAGCTGATCTCCTTTCCCCCTGCTTGATTATGATCCAGTGAGGGTTTCAGCTCAGCGTGTCGCCTTCCCCGCAGCCTATATGGCTCGGTTGCGGGAGGGCGGGATTTCCATACGACAGGGCGCGTGACGCCCCCAGCCGCGGCATCCGGCCGCTGCGCATGCGCTGGAGCAAAAGGGTGCTCGCCTCTCAGAACACAAGGTTCTACGACGAGACGGGCTTGAGGGAGCCCGTGGATTCAGACCCCGGGCAAGGGGGGAATGGGGGTTCGAACCGGCTCCCCTTCCGCTGAATTGCAATGGGGAGGTAGGTTCGAACCGGGGGGGACCCTGGGGACGGGGACCCCTCCCCTTGTGCAAAGGATGGGGGGGGGGTTCGAACCAGGCTCCCCTCCCCCTGAATTGCGAATGGGGGCGGGGGGGGTTTCGAATCGCCCGCCACCCCACCTCCGCCTGCCCCCCCCCCCCTCCCCTGTGCAGTTCGACTGTGTATGAGTTCGGGGTATGAGGCTTCAGAACCATCAGAGATATGTTCGAGATACGTTCGAATGTGAGTCGACGATCCGTAACAAATATGGCTTAAGCCATCTGGTTCGAAAGTATGCGCTGGAAAACTAACTTTGGTAGCGCTGATGTGGTGGCAAAACCTTTGAGACACGGCATCCCTCTGCCCTCAACTTCGCCGTTCTGGTTCCGGCTCAGCGTCGAGATCGCCGCTACATGTATCAGTAGCAGCAGACGTACTCGAGCAACGCCGAGTGGCTCATTGCGCACGTGATTGCAGCTGCAATCTCACCCATCCTCATCACCCGTAGCACCGACAATTGGATTGCTGAGTGGACGCGCTCAACCATGGACAACGGAGACACTTCAGGCAATGGCGCCGGCATTCCTCTCGACACGTTCAACAAGAACACGCCGCCAGGATGGCGGCCCGACAACGCAAGATGATCGTTGCGCTGCTACATCCAGTTACTCAGGCTTTGGTGGAGGCAGACGGAGCTAGCAGAGCACGCGGCAGGTCCAGCGATGGCAGGGCGTCTCAGAGGCTCGGCCTTTCAGATAGCGATGAAGATGAAACGCAACAGGCTGGACCTCAACGCTGGAGTGCAACGCGAAATGGAATGAGATGAACTACTAGCAGAGCCTTCACATCCTGCGTGGCAAGACGCCGAAGGTGTCCAACAACCCGCAGAGCCAGCAGTAGCCTCACTACTCATGGATCTTCTCGTTCAGGAGTTCGAGGTTCAAGATCAAGATATGTCTATCGTGGCCTTGTCGTGTTTCTTCTCACTTCAGAGAGGCCATCTGCCTATGAATGATTTCCTCACGATGTTTCGGCTGTGTTTCGAAGAGGCTTCAGACAGAGGAGGTCTGCAGCTCAACAACGTTAATAAGAGCTATTTGTTGTTGCAGATGCCAGGGCTTTCCGAGCGGATGCGAACCGACCTACGCATGCAGATGCAAGGAGATCTGAATCGTTTCCCCGAGCTCATTGACTTGACGCAGAGAATGGCCAATCATGAGTATCAAGGAACCTGGTCATCGATACCATCCATGGTCTCGCAGAATTAGGCCGACGAAACAGCTTACTGGGAGTCAGATTACGAAGAGTCCTGAGACCTGGACTTCGGACGGTTCCTGGAGGTGGGTCGGCTTTGAGGACGAATGGCAAGAAGGATCATGGTACGAATACGGCACCGACTGGGAAAGCATCTACGACGACGGGAACGGCACCTACCACGAGGAGGAACACGGAGAACAAGCAGAGGAAGATTACTACGGTGAAGGTGGTCAAGGACGAGGAAAAGGACGAGGACACGGTGGCAAGAAAGGACGAGGAGGCCGAAAGAACGGAGGCAAAGCAACATCCTCAAACGGTTGTACGACATGCGGCTCTCCATTACACTCCAACACGGACTGCCCTTTACAAACAAATCAATCATCAAACTCATCCGCCAAAACGGGTGACTTCTACGGCAAGAAGGGTAAATACCGGAACAACAGCAAAGGCAAGTATCGCAGCAAGTCCAACAAGAGCGGTAAGGACGGCCGCTCCAGCGGCAAAGGTATCGGTAAAGCTTGGTGGAGCAACAACAAGGACAACAGAAGCGGCAATAACGGTAGCTACTACGAGGACGACTCTCGGCAGTACGAAGAATATGATGAAGGAGGCACTTGGTTCACTCATGGTGCGACGGACACATACGACGGAGATGCGATAACTCCAAAGCCCGAACTCACTGGGTACGCCAGCGCATTCGGCGTCGGCGTCGTCGTCGTCGTAGTCGTCGTCGTCGTCGTCGTCGTCGTCGGCGTCGGCGTCGGCGTCGGCGTCGGCGTCGGCGTCGGCGTCAGCGTCGGGGTCGGCTTCGGCGTCGGCGTCGGCGTCGGCGTCGGCGTCGGCGGCGGCGGCGGCGGCGGGGCCGCCGTCGTCATCGTTATCGTTATCGTTATCGTTATCGTCGTCGTCGTCCTTGTCGTCGTCGTCGTCGTCGTCGTCGTCGTCGTCGTCGTTGCTGCCTGACGGCGCCGGCGCCGGCGCCGGCGCTCGCCGTCGTCGGTTGCAGGGGGGGCCCCCCTTCTGCTTCGAACCCTCCCCTGCAATTCAGGAGGGCCCCCCCCTGTTCGAACCCGTCCTCTTCCTTGAAAGGGGGGGGGCCCACCCCCCGGTTCGAACCCTTCCCCCCCTGAGGGCCCCCCCGCACTCCCCGGTTCGACCCCCCCCTCCCTTGCAATGCAGGGGGGGGCTCTCTGGTTCGAGCCCCTGCTCCCCCTTCTAAGCGTCCACAGAAAACGCTCTTTCTCATGGGCCGTCCTGGGGGCCTCTTAGGCCGTCTTGGGGCCCTCTTGGACTGTCTAACGGCCCTCTTGGTGGACTGCTAGGCTGTCTTTGGCTGTTACTGGAGGCCCCTTGCGCCGTCTTGGAACGTCGGGAGCTCGAAAAAGGTGATAAAGTCAAAATCCTTCACAACCCGGAGGAAATCAAGGATTCTTGCCTGTCGGGGCTCTCATTGGGGCCTCTTGGAAGCCTTCTCGAGCCATCTTGGGGCCCTGTTGGGCCGTCTGGACGCCATCTTGGGCCATCTGGAGGCCATCTTGGAGTCTTTTGGAAGCATCTTGGGCGACCCTGGAAACCTCCTGGGCGGCTCGGGAGGGCCCTGGGGCCATTGAAAAACTTTCCCGCATGCGCAGGCCCTGGCATTGCAGTAGAAATGACGGTGGGCTCCAGATTCGCCCCCCGCATCTCGCTGAGCAGCGACAACGCCCGCTGCCATTGCTCGCTTTTCCCGCACGCACTGATCCCGGCGCCGTAGCTGATGACGTTGGGCTTCAGTTTTACCTTCCGCATCTCTCTGAGGAGCGAAAGCGCCTGCTGCCACTTCTTGTCTCTTTCGTACGCGCTGATTCCTGCGCTGTAGCTGATGACGTTGGGTTCCAGTTTTACGCAACACATCTCGCTGAGCAACGACTGGGCCCGCTGCCACTGCTCGCTTTTCTCGCACACGCTGATCACAGCATTGTAACTGACTGTGGCTGACCCGTGGGTTACCGTCCAAGAGTGCCAGTGGTCAGAGTGCCCTTGTTGCTGCTCATTGCTTCAGGGTGCGCTGTTTGTTAGGTGATTCTGACGTCCAGAGCAGCGCTAGCAGTATCAGCGGCAGCAGATCCAGGGGCAAGGGCAGTAGCAACAGCAGCAGCTCCACCTCCTCCTCCTCCTCCTTATTATTTTCCTCCTCCTCTATCTTCTCGTGCTTGGCTCGTTCTCCTCCTCCTCCTCCTCCTCCTCCTCCTCCTCCTCCTCCGTCGTACCTTCCTCCTTCTTGCTCCTCTGGGCCTCGTGTCTCCCTCACCTTGCTGGGGGAGGCTGCTCCCGAAGGCAGGGGGCAAGGGACAGGTACCCTCTTCCTGGGGGGGGGGGTTCTTGGGGGCTCTTGCGGACGCCACTTGGGCAGCTTCGGGGAACTGTTTGAGAGGAGACGGCCAGTGGGGGGAAGCGCTCCCGAACTGACCTTCGTAAGCTTAATGCAATCGCGGGTTTTGGTTTGGACAGTCTGGGGAGCCTCCTGAGCCCTCTCGGCAGCTGCATGGGCCGCCTGGACCGGTGGGCCCGATTTCGGAGGACTCGGGTGCCGTGTAGGGCTAGACGGGCCAGAAGCGCTGCAGAGTGGGCCCTCTGGGCCCTCCCTTCAGGCCGTCTTGGGAGTCACTGCTCATTGCTCAGGGTTATCTGTTGGTTTGCTTGATGATTCTGACGGCGACCAAAGCAGCGGTAGCAATGTCAGCGGCAACAGATCCAGGGGCATAGGCGGTAGCAACAATAATAGCTCGACCCCTTCCGCCTCCTCATTGTCCTCATTCTCGTCGTGCTTGGCTCGTCCTCTTTCTCGGGCTCCTGCTGCTGCTGCTGCTGCTGATCCTCCTCCTCCTCCTCCTCCTCCTCCTCCTCCTCCTCCTCCTCCTCCTCCTCCTCCTCCTCCTCCTCCTCCTCCTCCTCCTCCTCCTCCCTCTCCTCGTCCTCGTCCTCGTCCTCGTTGGGTCGTGCCTGGGAGACAGGGTCTGGACCCCATAGAGCTGAAGCAGAGGGCAGCGATAGAAAAAGAAAGGGACATAGGCAGCGATCGCGGCAGCCCAAGCAGTCGTCTCCCCCACCCCCACTTCTTATCCGAGGCCCAGGCAGTAACCCCCCGTCGCCAAGCAGTAGTCCCCCCCGTCGCCCGAAGGCTGGGCCCGTCCTCCTCCTTATCCTCCTCCTCCTGCTCCTCCTCTTCCTCCTCCTCCTCTTCCTTCTCGTGCTTGGCTCGCCCTCGTCCTC